GAACAGTCATAGAACAGCTAAAATTAGCTAATTATCATGCAAATTAGGTAATTAACGAGCATGGATTTTTACCAAAACCTAATCAAATCTGCGCATTGGCCCAGAGCATCTATGCACCAAGTTTCATCAAAAACCGATGTATGGTTCTGGAGATAGCAGTGGAACAGTCGGACACACATACACACATACACACATACACACATACACATACAGACACACTAACTGCAAAGACTCCCATTTTGTGCTTCGCACATGGGAGTCAACAAGGGTTGCATTGAAATGAATGAATAATGTTTGAAGAGTCTGTGCAGCAGTGTAAAAATATGCTGATTCATCCAGTAAATTTCCACTACAAGGGCCCGGAATTTTTGATTCTGCCAAAGTCACTGGCGTCCTGTGTCTTAAAACCTCAGTTGAATTTCCACTGTTACAAATGTACCAATGTTCATAATTTACTGTTACAGTATTGGTTTATAGTACATTTGAAATATATAAATTCCACCAATACCTTGAAAAAACACATACCAAAACTGAACTTTGCCAAGAGCTTAAGAGCCCAAACAAAATATTCAAGTTTGATAAAAGAGCAGATAAAAAACTGTTTTTGTAACCACTGACAAAAAAAATGTTTATACCAAGGACAACAATGACAAGAACAGACATTTCCCCCTCATATACATGTACACACTTTTTTTTAAAAATAGTGATCGTTTTCTCTGAATGGTTAATAGCTTGTAGTCCAATGACAAATGGTAAAAGCAGTGTAATACTGATGTGCACCCAATGTGCATGTATTATGTATTATGTAATGGGTCACGTAGAGTTTTGAAATAAGCCAATGCTTTAAATGATTGCAAATGGACAAAGAGACAGATTAATGAGAAAAGCACAATCTCCTCTATTTCAATATAATGTTGCAATGCTTGTCATCAACCATGCCATTATATCGTTAAACTGAAAGACAACCTGACAGTTTATATTACTTATTGGTTTTTTGTGATTGATATCACTCACCTTAGTAAAGACTTCATACCATGGCGGCTGACGTAATGCATCGGCGTGTCATGATTATAATTATCACCGTAGGACAAGTTTGGATCCAGTGATTTTCTCAACTCAGGGCTGTTCATGTACAACTGCATGGCCACATACTCCTCCCCATTCTGCAGCGCTTTACGGAATTTTGATGAGGTGCTTCCCATCTTGATATGTTGTAATAAATAGATTCAATTCCAGGGATGAGGTAATGAGGCACGGGATGGATGAAAATATCGTCCGACCGAATCTTGCTTTATTTTCGATGAAAATCCATTGGAATTTACTGTTCAGTTTGGCACTAAACTGATTACAATTTTGATCACGTTGTTCCTACTCAAACAATAAGCAGCTGAAATTTAAAGCAAATGTAAACGTGTCCCTGAGCAGTGAAGCTTTAAGTCCCAGGAGATTTCAAACAGTTTGCCATTCAAGAAATCACAAGTTGTAACAAATATACCAAATATACAAATCAGCCAAAGCAAAGTTGACAACTTCCAGAAAGAATAGTTTTGAAAAAAAGGTGAAAGTATACGTCCTGTGTGGTTATAAATGAACCACAACTCACGCCGCTGATTTAAACTGGCCGAAGAACATGATGCTTCCGCAGAGATAATTCAATTATGCATCTATTGGACGTTATAATTTCCAAATTACCACCTTCGGAGATGGCAATAATCAGCAGTATTCGCACATGGATGGATTTTCTACTGCATCTATGTAGACATTAAAATCTGTGAAGCTCAATTCCACAGAAACCTGCAGTTACAGAAGCTGTTAAAGTAAACCATTCAGAGAGGGTAGTCAGGCATCTGAATGAACCATGTAAATGCTGGCAGGATTTGACAATTAGTCCTCATCAGTGGAGAGACGCCAAACTTCTTTTTTTCACATCTCATGAGATTTTGTAGTACAATCCTTTGAGAACAAGAAAAAAAAAATATAATTGATAAAATAAAACACCTGTGGTCAGAGCATCAGATTGGGTATTAAATATCTGAATTATAATCACTATAGTTCTGTCTAAACCTCATATGTAATATTATCGTAGATGAGAAATTACAATCATAAATAATGAACATGGGCATCATTTTTATTCATGCAGCTTTGGAGTGTGAAAATTAAATGTTTCATAATTGCTTTATTAAAAATGCATATACATAAACAAGCAGCCTATCGGCTGACATAGCTCCACTGTTAGCAATACACATTTTAATTAAAGAACTGAAGATATCATTAGAAAATGAACAAATCTGAGAGAGGTCTACCTGAGGTACCTATATGTATAGTATCAAAGCAATGAGATTTGCTATTTTCAAGTCAAAGATATTACCTTTTATCAAAAATGAAAAAATATTCATCAAAATAAAAGAATTGAAGATATCATCACGAAATGAATAAATTTAAAGGGGAACCGCTCAATCCCATGGATTGCACCAAAGAATCATGGGACACTATTGTTTCTGTTGTTTACAATGTTAATCTATCTTTTGTTATCCATTGTTATTTTAATCCAGAAAGTAAATTTGTTGTGAAATTAAGCTTAACTGGAAGGTGCCCCTTTAAGGAAGGTCTGCTCAAGGTACATATACACCAAGTATCAAAGCAATAAGAATAGTAGTTTTCAAGAAGAAGTCGAAAAAGTAAAAAGTCGTCAATGACAACACCGTATACAGACGGACAATCACTCATATAATAAGCTCCGCTCGACAAAGTCAACAGGGGAGCTAAACATTGATGCTAGAAACACTGGTAATTTATGTAGGTGCATACAAACTGTATACGAGTTGTAATGTTTAATTTGTCAAATAAGAAAACATCCATGTTTTGATGGCATTTATGAAGATAAAATTTTGCAAAAACATTTCACGTATTAGGCCCTCAAAAAAAAATTTCCCTTAACAAAATTTGTGATTTTCATCAACTTTCAAAATGTTGCCTCTTGTGACATTAAAGCAGTAGTTTTCAGTATGATATTAGCAGGAAATGTTTATGTGTATCACAGATAACTAAAACATCAACACAACATTGCACCAAACTATTTTTTTTTTTGAAGGCAGCATCTTAAATGCATGGACATTGTAAACAATTAAGTCTTGGAAATGAATAGCCTTTCAATTTTATATCTGGCATAAGGTATTTTCAAAACAGGCACATTGAAGATATATGCAAATTTATTATTGCGGCACTATTTACCAAAGCCCCCAGGGAACAGGATCTATAGTCAGGTGATAAGATCTCAAGTCACATGGCATTTCCTGCCATACTGTGCGAAAAGAATTACATTTTAACTTTCAAAACCAAACTTTTATTACAAAAACATTTTTACAGTTACTGTAGTACATGCATGTATAAATTTGAATAATTTAGTGATAATATTCTCTGAATATAATCAATTTTTAAGGTTTTTCATATCAAAGCACAGCGCAATCAGACTGTGTTCAGTCAGAATAGCTGCCATCAATATGTTATAACTGCCATCAATAAATATGTTAATTGAGAAAATGTTAATTGCGAACCAAGAGAACAGTGCTTTGGTACCATACAATATATTCTCTACCGTTCTGTTGGAAACAGTGATAAAATTTGGTGACACTTTCAGGAGAGCTAGGGGCATCAAAGCCAACAGTACTGCCGGGGACTTTCAGGGAGTACAAATGTACATGTACATGTACTGTTGACACACAAGTTAATGTAGACATCTCAAACTGTTTACTGGATAATGTTTTCCAGTGGAATGACCACCAACACACATTTTCTCAACCCTCCTTGCTATATTCTGCAACAAGGGCCATGAGTGAAAGCTTTCAAGAGCTTGGCAACATCAACACACTTTTATGAAAAAAACATCTGAAATGCTTTGTACTAAAATGCATTGCAGTTAATGCAAACATTATAAATTAATTACATTTATTTACTCTGCCCAGCTGTTCTGTTTCCATGACAATCATAAAAGTAGTGGTAGCCACTGAATGAAAACATAAAATAACACCGATCATTATACATATGTCACCATAAGTTACAGCGTGTCGTAATTTTGCGGTATTTTACAGGGTATTTCCATCCTAGCATATTAGCAAATGTGAATTCCAAATGTGGAACGATTGCGTGTGTGAGCGTTCTCCAATAATAAAAAAAAACATGGCTGCCACCGTGCTTTGACAGGACTCCACACAAAGAAGTTCGGCACTCCCATGATGTATGCTTGGGAGGAAAATATGTACCGGTATAATAATGAGGTTATTACGAGAATATTGCAAAGTATGCACTCAGACAGTACACAGTCACATCAAAATCTGCTGCACCTCAGTTGATACTCCTGCTGTACTGTCTTCATGCATATACTTTTCGGTATCCTCATAATAACCTCATATTAAGTTACTGATATTTTCCTTGGAAACACTCGAGTAACAGGAGATATTTTCACTTCTACATGTATAACAATAAAAAATCAGTGGATAATACATTTGCATGTACATGTATATATTTGGTGGTAGAAGAAAATGCCAATCGAATAAACATACATGTAGGAAATGTCTTGTCCGACTTTCATTTTAATCTGAACTATTCAATCCCTGCAAACAGCTCAGTGACTCCAGTCACTGACATACATGTACACAGATGACGCATATACAGAATAAATTAATAATGTAATGCTGATACGTTTCATCAAAATATGAATTGTGAATAGCAATATCAAGAGAAGGAGATACAATGTACCCTCATGGATTTGTGTTGGTTTTTATCAAAATGAAGCATTTTATGAAACTATATTGGCATACACACATGTACGTCCCTCAGTACTACATGACAGATTATTGTTAATTTTCTTTTTTTTCCTCGTCCATTGCCTACTAAATAAATCTGTTTATTTTTACAGGTATCCATCTCCTTTCAAGCTACTGTCGACATAGGAAGTAAAGTAAGCAAATAACACCGAATAAACGGCAAGGTAAAGACTATGTCTAATTATAGTAAATACGTACTGCGTGCGTGACTCGAACCGGCGCTCGCGTACGGCACCTAATCGCCTAGCTTCACGCCACTACACGTCTTCCCCTCGGCCACCGGGCATCCCCAAAAAAGGATGCTTAATAACCGAGCTTATTACGTGCAGAGAACGTGAAACCCGTCCACGCGATACGCGCCACACAGCATGGCCAGAATGCGGCAAAGGCCTTCAGATCTGGCTGTAGTAGGATGGTGAAAGTAATGGTACAGCATTTTAACAGTGAATAAGTACTGAGAAATAATTTTTAAACTCATAGTTGCTGTCGACATAGGAAGTAAAGTAAGCAAATAACACCGAATAAACGGCAAGGTAAAGACTATGTCTAATTATAGTAAATACGTACTGCGTGCGTGACTCGAACCGGCGCTCGCGTACGGCACCTAATCGCCTAGCTTCACGCCACTACACGTCTTCCCCTCGGCCACCGGGCATCCCCAAAAAAGGATGCTTAATAACCGAGCTTATTACGTGCAGAGAACGTGAAACCCGTCCACGCGATACGCGCCACACAGCATGGCCAGAATGCGGCAAAGGCCTTCAGATCTGGCTGTAGTAGGATGGTGA